TTAAGTAATATAGTATATAATATTACAATAGCTGTCGTCGGCGACTCCGTCCGCGCGGAATTATAAAAAAAACCTACTGAGTAGTCTATGTGTTCTACATCTATGCCAAAGTTTCCGAGGTACCTTCAAACATACAAATACCCATCCATCCATTAGTAAGATTATGAATTAAATATTTGTAGTGTGTACGTGTGTGAAGGCATATTTTAACATGTGTTGTGCCGTGACATCTAAACCCTAGTAAGTTTAGTAGAACATAAACAGTCCGTTGACTATGAATGGAGGCGTTGGCTTTGGTCTGGCCTCAGCACGCACCGTATCCGCGACCGACGTTTTGACATCGACTCGCCTTTCACTTGACCTGGATATTTGGGAACTGGTTCGTAATCACAATGCGAGTTTGCATTCCATACAGATAGATCTTATTCGCATTGTAATCGACGTTTCCTATCATAAATAATATTGAAGTAAACATAATACATAAATGAAGACAATTCCTCCTTCGTCATTTTTTGGCACACTTTAAGCGTGTAATAAATTTCAAAAGTTCCTCTTTCTTATGTTATAAATTGCATGTGGCACCATGATAAATACAAAAAAACTGTAAAGTTGATATGACATGTCAAGTCCGTGGCAGATTCTCGGTAAACAAATTGTAAAAGATATGACAGGTGTGCCACCGTTCACCCAATTATAGCAGCCCTGAAATATAAATAAAATAAAAAGCATCTCGCTAGGGCTCCGAGGCAACCTGTTTGGACGCCGCCTACGCCTCACAAATCAGCGCCAGTTTTTTCTTAACCCTGCCCCCTCTACCCCCAACCTCATACAATCATACTAAGCTCGTAGCGTGCCCGATCAGGTTTAGACGTGTTTCGGAATGACCCGGCAAATGGCACACGTCATACGAGTTCTACCATGATGAAATGCGTCACATTTGTCATTACTCATTACGGGATTACCAACATTTGGTTGAACAATTTAATTATAATTGGTTACAATAATTATTTATACAATGATTATGAAACCTTTCTAATTAAATTTGTCTACTACCAGGTCATAAATTACCAATAAGTTTCTATGTCAGTAGTATTATTAAAAAATATGTTGAAAAATGTTGACAACCCCTGTCTGCTAGTATTATGCAAGATCGACTTTCAAAAAAGCTTACACGTCGCAAATTCAATGTGAAACCGCTATTGCGTGGGTTCTGTCTACTGGTGCGTTTACATTCACATTTTTACTCACGTCTAGTTTTCCACTGATGTTGAATTGTTTTCTTACGTCACAATACGTCGCAGGATAGCTAACATTGGAAATTATTCTCTATTTTTAAGACCATAAGCTTTTTTTTTGGTATCGGGGGGAGGAATCTTCGTAAGATACCCTGCTTTATATAAGGGTTATGTGAGATTCTTACTCACTAAAACCCCCTCGATGGCCAACCTCAAGTGCGACTGCGAGGGTCCCGGGATCTCCAAAAGAACGCACCGGAACCCTCTGCACTGGGCTTCTGCACGACTCCAGGAAAATACTTCCTCGTGCCTTCTCAAGATTCGGCAACATTGGACAAGACCATAAGCTACGTTATGAAAATGTTTTTGTTCATTTAAGACTGCTGATCTGTTATAAGTGTTATTTGTAAAAAAAGCTTGGTATATGAATATGTTTTTTAAGATTATTTACTTCCAAAGCTTACATTTATGTTTTTCCTCATTTTATAATGTAACAGGCCGTTTCATTTTCGAATACACACTTTTAAAAATACAGATTTAACTTCCTAATAGCAACAGTTCGAAGCGTATTTTTAGTTCACTCATAACGATATTTTTTCATTTCTGTCGTGTCTCCTTCGTTATATTCGTTATATTATAAGCGGCTTATAACAAAGGGTAGTGACAAAACAACCCCCAAAATTACTTGTACATTCACGCCCTCGCTTCAAAAAGCGTGACGTCAAAAAAACCTCACGAGATACTTTATGTTTTTAGTTTTCTTTTCTTCCACTTAAGGATTCCACTCGCGTAATAAAGGACGAAAGACGGATGTATCTTGTTTTCATGCATAGCATTCGTTATGTTTTAGTATTTGAAATGTTGCCAACATACTAAAATCACTACAGTCAACATTGCAAGAATAATTTACAAGCATTTAAAAAAATAATTATTAAAAAAATGCGAAGATGACGTAATAATACGGACGGAAGATAGTAAAAATTCCATATAAAAGTCACACGCACGATCGCACAGACATATGGTGAGTGTGAACCGCAAATTGTATACCAAATTGTTCTGTACGCCGGTAAACAAGTGAATTGTACAAGAGGGCGTCGTTCGCCCGCAGATATTTAGGTCGACCAAAATAACCACGGCTCTCCTCTCGCGTTCAATAAAACTGGGCATTGGACCACTCGTTTGAAGCACCTTGTTTGCAACACAAATTACCACACTGAATGAATTGAAACTATTCTTGAATAACGAAACATATCCTTATATCCGTGTGTTATTTAAATGTTCAAAACATTTCTTCGGGGCTTACTTCTATCTAATAAAAATATCATGAATAATATAACAATAATTGAACTCTAGAATCACAAGTTTGTAGTTTATTTTGTGGATTTTATAACACAAATTTTGTCTTGTATTATTTTCTTTTCAGCCTAAAAGCGATAAAAGATTGATAATGGCCGCCGTAACGAGTGTAGTGGGCGTGTGTGAGTTGTTTGTACAAAATCATCGCTAGGCGCACGCGCGGATCCACCAAGGCCATTTTGTTTACGCACACCCGCATGTTTACTTCAGTCCGAAGCGTATAACCCGACTAAATCCAAGATGTCGTACATTCAATACGATACAGGCGATCAAATACGTTTACTAAATCAGTCGTATAATAGGTAACACGAAATGGCGGGAAACGCTTCATTGAACGTTTGGCGGCAAACTATTGCATAATCGAATGAAAGTATTTTCTCTAGTTTTCAGTAGCGTACATTATTTGTATTAGCAGAAGATAAAGGTATTTTTATCCGTAAATCCATCCATCAACAATAGATATTTGTAGGTTAGATTTCAAGCATGTTTTCACTTACATAACACATTTTAATTTTTATATATTCGTATTTTTCTTTGATTTGTCGCGATTTATGATACATTTTTTCGACAATCCACTTAGAACATAATATTATGTTGTTTTGTAGTTTGACAAAAATAGCTTGCCACTACACGTGGTTTGATTTGGCGGGAACCGAAATCGGCGTGGTCCAGTCGACCTTGGGCCTTGTGACGTCACTGACATAGTTCTGGCTGCAAGACACATCGGATTGGCCTTTTTAGTTTTTTCGCACTGGTTCAGATCGTTATTATCTGTGGGGACGCTTCACCAAACATTATCAAAAGACCGCGCGCTTTTTATTCAAGAAAAAACTTTGGCGCCTTTTTCTACTTTTGTAGCACAAATTTATTTATTGAAATTTAAATACGTTATAATAGACATTTACAAATATTGATTGCTATTAACTAATGAGAAAATAATTAATTTTTGATTGAATAAAAAAATATTAACTTTCTTAATGACTGCCATAAATGCCCAGAGTCTGTAAGTGATCATTACGGGACTTTCTTAGTGTAGATTTCATACTAAATACGAAAGACGACTTAACAACTTATACTTCTAACCTTGATTTTAAGCGATTGTAAATTATTACAGTCATATTGACTTGACGGATTATAATTAAAATTTAAATGTAAAATTAAAACAATCGAGTTAGTATATTAATAAAGCGGTTTGGCGCGAAACGCGTGGCCTTGAGCGTGTGTTGCCATGTCGTTGTAACCAATCGGGAGACGGCCGTCAGTCATTCTTATCTATATTTCTTAATTCTTAACTCGACCTGCGATCTTCTCTGTTAGTTTAATATGAATAAATTAGCATTTGAAATATAGATGACAATTTAGACCTAAAATTTTAATAATTAACAGAAAAAAAGAATCCTGTTACTACAGTTTTAGTAACCAACAAGCAACCCTCGCACCTGTGACCCAGAGTTGTAGGCAGAGATTAGGGATTTCCATTTGCCGTGGTCCCGACACACCTCACTCGGCTTATCTGTATTCATACATCTACACATACATACAAAAACATACTCCTCAGGTTTTTTGACTCATAATCTCCATGAATCAATAACGAAAGCTCACTGATAACAAATCTATATATAAATAAAACAACAACAATTGATTCGAGTTATCTAAATATAACTGTAATTTGTCCATGAACTTCATACCCAGTGTGTCCCCACCCTTTGCTCCCAATGGAACCAACCTCGCAGTATTACAGCCTTTAGCCATTACAACGCAGATTAAACAGTAGTAAAAACCTCGTAAAACTTTTATACTTATTAAGGTCATAGACTTTTTTCAAATTCAAAAAGGACTACAAAGAGCCCCGCTTGCGACGAATTTTAAATGGATTTCGGTACAAAATATGTTAGAGAGTAGGGTGGCCATTTTGTTATGTTTAGAAAGATATTTTATTTTATCATGAGGATAACGACTTCGCATTAAACAATTATTTGACATAATAATTTTTTTGTTTTTAATTTTTATACCTAAAATTAGTTCGATCAAAGAGGTGACAAAATAAATCTAATAGGTCTTACATAAAAGATAGTATTTAATAGTTTAAACTATGGCCTAAATGCAAATCATTAATCATTTACAGTCTATCATCACTGAAAGTAAAAATTAAATACAGTTGCCATGGTCACCCTAACATTTGAGGATACTTTTTATGTTGCTATTCTTTTGGAAAGAATCGTAAAACTGTCGGGACAAATCGTGTTACTGCGCACCCCACAACTGTCTCAACGTACCTTCCGTACAACGAATAGCTTACCACGCCTGCTTTTGACTTTTACGACATCTTTAATGACCTCAAAACAACGCACCCTTTAAATAAGAGTTATAATTATCATTGTACTTATCATGTTCTCTGTCTCTTTCCAGATTTCCTCAAGCCTCGAAAGAGGACGGCGAGCAATGGCAAGAAGTCCCCCTCAGTGCACAAACATGAGTGCGGGCACGGAGCACACATACGCCCTCCCAAGGTCGCCCGGCTCAACCAAACGCATTTCAAGCGCTCGAGCTAGACCCGTCCGGTACAACAGTCCGGATGTGTCCGGACACTAACCGGACGCCTAGGCAACTGCAATCCACGTGCAATGCTAGACCCCGTGTAAGACTAACTGAAGCCGGGTTCGCGAGATGCAGTGTGCATTATTTTATATCTCTTTATTTATTCTACGCCGGACACTAACATGTCCGGCGACATATTTAAGTAATTTGTAAGATAACTTCAACCATTATACTTTAGGATACTTGTATAATATTTCTCTATAGTTACTGTCACTCGTTACAACACAAAATTTGCTCAACGGACCATTAATATCTCTAAACTTGTATCCGTTAATGTGAACTCACATTGTTAATACACGTAAGAACATCCTGTCATCTCTCTTATTCTCTATGGAAAAACAGAGATAACAATATGTTTTAATACAACTCAGTGGAATTTCACTAAAGGCAATCATTCTAACAATATCACAGATGCAATATGGAAGTGTGACGCATAGGTTTAAGTTTATTATGATCTCTTTGACATATTAATTAAGTTATAATAGATTAAGTAATAAGTTAATAAGGCTATAGAAGTCGGAGTATATATTAAGGTTTGGATTTAGTTCAGGTGATTGTATGCGAGTAATGTAACCTAACGTTTCGCTTTGAAAATGTTCAAACGTTGGCGGGAATTAGATTTCAGTCGAAATGCGTTCGAACATTTTCGACGAGCGTTTGGTGCGCGCTTTTTGTGTCCCCCTATTGCGCAGGCGCATGGGGGGACATAAAGAACAACGGAAACGATTGAAGAAGGCAATAGAGTAATAAGATACAAATACTCAATTTTATTTTGCCAATACTATTAAATAAGTTAAAAACAAATTTTATTTAAACTATAATTTTTTGTGTTTGGAACAAGTAATGTATGGAGCCTGTCTCTAATTAATATATTCGTTTTATTGTTGGATATTAATGGAGTATATTCTATAGAGGATTTGTTTTTTTTGTTCTTACAAATATCTTAAACGTTTTACCAGGATAGTTTTACGAATGGCGTTTGCATATTCCCGGCACTGGACGGTGTCAGTGTGGACGCGGCTCTGTTTTAGTACAAATTATTTCATTTCAGTTTAGTTAGGAGAGCCGCGTCCTACGTTATAAAAGACAATTCATTTTCATCATATCATTCGAATTCATTCGGTTTAGTCTTAAAAGTGTTTAGAGCGAGTAAATTGTCGCAGTTCAACCAAAGTTAAGAGTTAACTTGACAAGGCCTCGGCCGTAATGAAATGTTTTAATGAATTTCTTATTTTGACGATAAAAAAAATTTAAAATATTTATACAACGCCTGTTATAGACATTTTTAACTTTGTAATCGTTCTAATTGATTAAGTTTGTTTGTAAGAAATTTTTGAAGTTGTGAAATTTATAAAACGTGTTTATGTCGCCTCGGAGACAGATGTCGCTATTGTTTACAGGGAACATGGAAAATATATTTATATTAAAAATAATATACGAATGTTACACTATTTAACTAACATACAATATTTAAAAATGTTATTAAATAATCGTCTAAAACCTTCATAATCGTTTTAGACGAAGATTTATTTATACAACAATTGGACCTTTATTTTCGAGGCGACACTTATAGATTGTTTTGAAAAATGTCTGAGCAAATACGCTGCTTTCAATTGTAGTCCGATTTTCATCACAATATTGATTATAAGTTTTCAACGGGGTTGCTATGTTCGATCGTGTTTATATATTTTATTAAAAACAAAGAATAATGTCATATAAGTGTATTGTTTTTAAGTTAGATTAATAATTGGGTATGGCAACACTCGATGTTCGGGGGCTCACTGATTACGTCACGATCTTAATTTATTTCTGTACAACACCTGTGATGTATTAGATATGATCTCAGATGATAATTTAACTGTATGCAAATGTCAATATTTAAATATGCTACTAATAAGTAGCGAGAAACTGTATCCCTGTTGTGGAAGCAATGAGAAACAATTTAATACATCAAATTATTTAATAATATAGAGTAATGAGCGTATAGATGGCGCTGGCGGCACTGTAAATATGGCAACACCAGTGTATTTATTGCTAGAAATTGTGCACTTTTGTAAGGGGATACAACAAAAAATATATATATAAGCTCCAGAGGCAAAGCTGCGGACTATGGCCACTTTAATATCTGGTCACAATTAATATTAATTAATTAATTTTATAAATTACATGACATTATTATGTAACTACAAAATAGATAAAATTATTATGTTGGTTAAAAAAAAACAATTTTGTATTCCAATTACTATACGCGAAATTTTTTGTTGCATATAATTTCTTTTTTAATTAAAAACATAATGTCGTTGCCAAATAACTGTAACTAATAATTAATATATTAATTTTTAATTGATTTATCATTTAAAATTTTAAATGGTAAATTAATTAACATTTTGCTGTAATACATTTTGATTTACCGTTATAATGATTTTAAAGTATCATAATAATATAAATATAACAAAAAATAAAAGGTATTAAAAATGATATTCAGTGGTCCATAGTCTATACGCTGATATAAATGTAGTGCTAAATAACAGTCCGTTTCCACTGTCTAAAGATTCTTACATTGTCTACCTTATTCTCTTTTAAAACTAAGATGTTAACTATGTCTTTGTGTTAATGTTTGTCAGTGGAAACAGACGGTAAAGCCCGGCAGTGTTCGCGTGGCAGCAGCCTTTGGCCGCAAACATTCACACTTCTGTATATACTTCGGCCAATGTTCTAATATACGTTTTATTATGTATCGAGTCTTATTGTGTATTTATAATTTGTATAATGTATAAAAAGTTTACTAGTTAAAAAAAGCTTACTTCATACTATTCATGTGTTTTATTTTATTTTTTATCCCTGCAAATAATACAAAGAAGGTTTTTGTTGTAATACTGACTTAGAATCGGAATTAAATCTTACTTCTTACTAATATAAATGCGAATGTTTAGATGGATCGATGGATGTTTGTTAGAAGGTATCTCCAGAACGGCTGTATGGACTTCGCTGATATTTGGCATAGATGTAGAACATAGTCTGGAAGAACACATATGTTTATTAGGTTCACTTAACGGAGTCGCGTGCGACAGCTAGTAGAAGATTAAAATTGTAAAATAAAACAATATTTGGATGCTCGTATGAAAATGTTTACTGATATCACAATCAAATCTACACATCTACCCGTTTACCCATCATATAGTCGCATACACGTCCAATATTGATGATACATGCAAAATACAATACCCAATAAATGTAGTACACAGAAGCACCGCACCGCAGCGGTGGCGCTAGTATCTAAAATTCGAATACATATAGATTTGTTACACAAAGAAAATGAAAATATTAAATTTCACAATTAAAAGCAAAGTCTGGCGTGCTACAGAATTTTCATTTTATTCTAATTAGCTAGTGTTCGACAACAATACGACTACGTGTCCACATTTAAATTTCACATGAAAAATTGAAAAAAAAAATATTTCTCAATATAAAAATTCGCATCTAATCAGTACAACGCTAGTTTGAAAAGTGACAAAAGTTATTTGCATAATAATTATAAACCACAGCAATGAGTAATAATACAATTTTACGTAGATAATTTTATAGAAGAAAAATTAAAAAAAAAACTGCACATACAATTGCAATTTAAGAAGTTATTGTCTCAAAAACGATTTAAAACCACCACAATATAATAAAACTACTAAACAGTTAAACTTTATATGAGATATAGCCGCCATTGCTCAAACCGAACTTGAGACATACATATATAATTATTTATTTATATAAATTTACAATGATAAGAATACATATTACACTTAGGCACATCGATTGTTTATAAAATTACGAATTAATTCGAAAACGTGATCCTGTCACCGTCAGCTATACTACCACGAATCTAACACCCATAAGTGATTACAAAATTACATGAACGTGAGGTTATTCGTTTAATTATTTTTTTTTAAATGACATTTAATTATAATCTATAGAATTATAAACCGAACGATGCAAAACGACCGAATCAGAAACATCAAGAATTATCTAATTCAACATTTATTTAAATTTGAAACATTTAAAAACGACACCAATGCAACATCTTTCACTTATATAATACACATAAGGAAAGAGTTCGAAAGCTTATCGGAGTGGGAAATGTTTTCATAAATTTGTACTTTAAAGTTTCCCATCTCAATCAGTGCTTCCTATTAGCAGTACAGATAACTTTATATTTGTGTTTATATGATATATATTATTATTACTTGCTAATTTGGTCATAAACCTACATTGCACGACTAATCTAGCATAAATATGTCAGTAATATGTACGTAATGTGTAAACACCGCGTCTCTAGTACACAATACAAGGATCATGTTGGACGCTACGAGGATATTCGATATCTTACATTATAATATATAGAAAACAGCAAATCTCGATTAATCTGGACATTGAAATCACATAGAATTATATAATGTTAACCTAGTTACAAATGTCGGGCTGTGGACGACGATTTAACATTTGACAAAATTTTTCTTTAAAATAAAATAAAAATGCTTATACGAAACATAACAATCTTAAATTTTTAACTTCGGAAAAGTATACAATGCACAATAAGATACACAAAGTTATCAATAGCAATTCAAAAGTGACTAAAACTAAAATTCCACATGACAAAAACAAACTTTACAAAGTTAAGGTACTTTACGAATAACCTTCAAATGCGTCTCACGAATTTCGTCTAAATCTCATAACTCAAAGTATGTTCGTGTCACTCGCCGTCCACTGGGGATTAAACATCGACAAACATCTAATCTTATGCAATATAACTACACCCATAGCTTGTATAAATCATTTGACATGTATTTCAATTAAAAGCAACGGCTACATTTTAATAATTCATTTAAATGTTGCCACTTTAGACACAAATGTGGATTAAGTTTGTTTTGTGTGATGGCAACATTTAATTCAATCAATACAACGACTACTGCCCTATACAATCTATAAGCTCTATAGGTAAATATAAAATATTTCAGACATTTATATAATATTAAAAACTGACTTCATAAATTTGGTGTTTAAATCTGAATGGTAGTTTAAAAATTCAAAATAAATATAATTATTCAATAACAGTCCAGTTGTCCGAGAGTACGATATATGGACGGCAAAATTATCTTGGTGAAAACAGCCCTTTTTGTTATAGCTTTAATATTGTACCACTTATAAGAAAATTTATAGTTCTATTTAAAAATATACAGCAATAAATATTAAGAACATCTCACCCGTAGGGTAGTTGAAAATGTTCCAAGACAATTTATTAAGACGATTGTAGAAAAGAGAAGAAAATAGACAGAGACAGCATAAAAAAGCACAAGATTAGTAAGAACTGCACAACTGGACCGCGCAGTAATCTAAGACATTATCAACTACCGACAAAATCACATTTAATATTAGTAGACAGTGTAAAAATAATATTTATAAACATTGGCCTATAAGTTAATTAGAATTCATTGTACTCCAACTAGTTGAGAAAGCTTATTCATATTATCACACATACCTATCAGGTAGATAACGTCGAGTGTTACAAAAGTTTACACTAAACAGTAGAGCCTAAATTTAACAGCCGATAATGACACGTTACAAATGTACGACATCAGACTTGTAGAGTAAATCCTATGATATTTCGAGTACGGAGTGACAAATTGTTCCCACTTTAGTTACACAAATTTGCCTTCAACATTTCCACAGGCGCCGTTATTTCTTTTGCTTATGTCCCTTTTTGAATTTCACTGTCACTGTTCACTATATAATTCAAAAATTCTAAGTAACCGTGGTGCGCACATTTAAACGTTACAATTTACATATTATTCATATCTATATACCCCCACATATAAAGTTCTAGATAAAATACACTTTAGTGCACAACTACTACACAGGTGGTCGTTACAAAAGCTGATTTCTAAGCACATTTAGGATAAGGTAAGATAAAGTAATCAGTCAATATTTAAAATGTGTTTTACAATTCATAGGAGATGATTAGAACGATATTGTGCGTGAATTTTAGGTTTCAGCAATTATAAAATATATTGATTTCACAAAATTGTATGTCTAATTAGTTGTTTATGAATGAAAGAAAACAAATACTTAATGTCAACCGACATTCAAGCGTATCTAATATTATATATATACACCATTATTATACATTAATAATAAAACTTTTCAAATGTATTTATATGAAAGTGGTTGATTACATTCAATCATTGTGCGAC